ATTTATTTATTTATTTATTTATTTATTTATTTATTTATTTATTTATTATTTGATTTGCCAATTGTTTACAAGATAATAAGTATAAATGTATACATAGTTGTGAATACATGAAATGGGTACATATAAGAAAAATAAAAGAAGAATAAGAGAAACAATAGGACAGGGACGGTAGGCACGTTGGTGCGCTTATGCACGCCCCCTACAGACCTCTTAGGAAAGGAGTTAGGTCAATAGTAGACAGTCTAAGGTTAAAGTTTTTGGGGTTTGGGGAAGAAACCACAGAGTCAGGTAGAGTATTCCAGACATTGACCACTCTATTGCTGAAGTCGTATTTCCTGCAATCAAGTTTGGTGCGGTTAACTTTGAGTTTGTATCTATTGTGTGCTCTTGTGTTGTTATGGTTGAAGCTGAAGTATTCATTGACAGGTGGGACATTGCAATGTATGATTTTATATACCATGCTTAAATCAGACCGAAGACAGCGTAATTCAAGGTTTTCTAGTTCTAGAATTTCAAGTCTGGTGGCATAAGGTATTCTACAACGAGTAGAGGAGTGGAGAACTCTTCTTGTGAAATATTTCTGGACTTTCTCAATTGTGCTAATATCAGATACGTAATGTGGGTTCCAGACTGATGAGCTGTATTCGAGTATTGGTCTAGCAAATGTTTTGTATGCTCTAGTTAGTAGTGTGATATTACCAGAGAAAAAGCTACGTAGGATTAGGTTAACAACTCTTAATGCCTTTTTGGCTATGTAGCTGCAGTGGGCTCTAGCACTTAGATCATTAGAGGTGAGTATTCCAAGGTCCTTTACAGAGCTTGGGTCATCAACAAGATCTTGACTATTCAGCTTGTATTTTATTTTCTGATTTTTTTTGCCAATATGTAAGACAGAGCATTTATTTGTTGAGATTTGAAGTTGCCATTTGTTTGACCATTGTGATACATAGTCAAGATCTTTTTGTAGGGTAGCAGTATTGTCTGTGGTATTGAACAGCTTTACATCATCAGCAAAAAGAACGCAGTTGCTCTTAATATGATCACAGAGGTCATTTATGTAGAGTATGAAGAGAGTTGGTCCTAGAACACTGCCTTGGGGGACACCACTATTGACAGGTACAGAATTTGATAGGACGCTCCCAATTTTGACCATTTGTTGTCTGTTTGCCAGGAATGCTTCTACCCAGTTATGCAGTTGTCCAGAGATACCATAGGATTTTATTTTTAGGAGTAGTTTGTCGTGTACCACTGAATCAAAGGCTTTACAGAAGTCTATGTAGATTGCGTCTATTGCTTTGCCCTGATCGAGTTGTGTCGTCCATATCCACCAAATTATGTGGTTAGGGAGAATTTGCCATGCAAGGCAACTCTTAAATGATAGATGATAGCTGTAGGAATAGATAAGCTAATACAAGCAGGAGGCAGAATCAGTATGTGAAGACCATGAGGCCCTCTGGGAGAAGATATTTGAAATTTCCAGCCTTCTATATTATGAAATCAGGTATTCCACTACATAGTATTATCATAAAAGGATTCCGAATGTTATTTCTTTTACACCAACTTAAGTTCCTTTAGTCTTTTTTTCTTTCTTTCTTCTGAAATATCTAATGCGCCATAAACTGAGTTCACATAATAGTTATACTATTGTAAGTTTTATAAACAATTATACCAGTGTCAATTAATTTTATAAATTCTAACATCTTACTTGAGATCTGATAGGAAATTATTCAATATTTTTAGGGTGTGGGAAGAACACTTATGAATTAAATATACCTTTGATTTTGACTCTATCTGAGGTCCAAGGACAAGCAATTCATCTTGCATATCTGCAATCTGTGAAGTTCCATCCAAGATTTTTGTCAAACCAGAATGATAGCAAGCTCTAAAATAAAAACATAAGAGTTAAAATCTACTTATACCAAGGCCAGATAGTCACATAGTATATTAATTCACTATGTATTAAAAATAAACAGTGATTCATGTGGGGTGGGTGGGGGTGGGTGGGGGGGTGCAGTTATATATTTATGTAGACATATACTTTCTCTTGAGAACAGGCAACAGAATTTCATTTTTAATATGGACCAGTATGCTCACAGTTAAAAAAATACGTCTTATCTTTTTTATTTAGTTTATCAAGCATGTATGAGAAAACAAGTATAAGGATGAACATAACATATAAACATATAAGTATAAACTGGTATAAGTATATACATAATAAATGAGTACAAATAAATGGGAACAATAGGACAGGGACAATAGGCATGCTGGTGCGCTTATGCACGCCTCCTTACAGACCTCTTAGGAATGGAGTGAGGTCCATGGTAGACAGTTTAAGGTCAAAGTTTTAGGGGTTTGAGGCTGTAACAACAGAGTCAGGTAGTGAGTTCCAGGCATTGACCACTCTGTTGCTGAAGTTGTATTTTCTGCAATTGAGTTTGGAGTGGTTTACTTTGAGTTTGTATCTATTGTCTGCCCGTGTGTTATTGTGGTTGAAGCTGAAGTAGTCACTGACAGGTAGGATGTTGAAGCAGACAATTTTGTGTACTAAGCTTAGGTCAGACTGTAGGCAACATAGTTCTAAGTTGTTTAGGTTCAAAATTTCAAGCCTGGTGACATAAGGTATTCTATTGCAAGCTGAGGAGTGGAGTACTCTTCAAGTGAAATACTTCTGGACTCGCTCTTATCTTATCTTACCTTACCTTACCTTTCCTATCCTATCTGTTCAATCCCTAAACAAACTACCTTATATTAAATGCTAAGTGCATAGAAGACTTTCAGTAAAGCTACACATGCCAACTTTATAAAGTCTATCATGAAAAAACTATGGTAAGCACTGTGCCCAGAATTGTAAATATCTTATATATGTTTTATAGATAATTTATAAAACGTTTTATTGATATTAAGTCCATTGCTTCTATGATATTTTACAGAATAACTCCTCAACAATCTTATACACTAACCAGAGATGAATGTATAAAATATACATTAACCAAAGGATGAATGGCACAATAATCAAATCACACTGTAGCTAATGTTCACCCTATCATGAATCTGTTGGCAGTGAAATGCTCAAATTTGCCATGGAAAAATTCTCCTCTTCCAGGAAGAGTGTATTAACCCACCCAGTTATTGCAACTGACTTTCAACAAAATTGCTGCTATGTTTTGGGATTGTTAAACATTTTAATCCACCTGAAACATTTTTATAAAATAGTATTCTTTCTGAAAACTTTTCTGTGGTGCTGTTTTACATACACATACAACTATATTTACCTTTCACTCAGCATTTTCTCTTTTGTGGTCCTCAACATTGTGGAAAAAGTATTTATAAACTGCAAGTAACTTTTGGGAGTGATGTAATAGTGTCTTTTAGTTTCCTTCAAGTATTTCTCAATTATTATAGATACATTCTTGTGAATATTAACAATCATAGGGATAAGAGTATCTTTTACATTCTGTAAAGACAAATGAAAAGACCACATATTTTATACAATGTACATTTCAATTTGAGAGTTGAAATTTATTATAATGTACTCAGTAATTTCTTATTCATGCTCATCAGTTTGTATTGGTTCTCTCTTCTTTGTTGTTCCTTTTCTTCCCTCCACACGGGAAGGTGAGGCTGCTGAGTGTAAAAGTTCTAATTCCTTGGTGATGAGATTTACCTGTGATGCTTGTGTTCTCCTCTTTGGTGTAAACTTACATTTTAGAAATATTTTGAAATTGCCAGTTTTTTTTTTTTTTTTTGCATACCATCAACATTCATTCAGTTAAATGCATCTGTTCTAAAATTATGAATTGTTACAATTTACAGTAATAGCCACAGCCTTATTTGATGAGGTAGAGTACATTTTTCAGCAGAGAAATGAAATTCCTATAGAAGATGGTTTTGCAAATTACCCGCTAACAGGTATAGCTGAAGATGGAATGAGAATTAATCTATACTAAATCACAGTAGCTTTCTGCTGCTATCACTACCTTCCAGCCAGCCAAATCCAGACAAGGAGCAGATGAGCCAAATTGTGTAGGTTTTGTATAATGGTGATTTGGTAATTTGTGCTTGCTCAGAGCAAAGCAGTGGTTGTATCTGGCATTTTGTTTTCCCGAACATTTTCCATGAGCCCTAGAACCCCACTTAGTTATGATTGTCGAAACTCATTGCAATGTTTTCCCACAGCCTTTAAAATGAGTTATCACAATTCACGAACAGCTTCAGTCGATCAACCAGAGTTCATAAGTGAGAATAACTTATTATAGATTTTATTTTGATAAAATACATTCATATCATACCTCATTTCTAAATGTCTCACTTTGGCTAAAATAACTTTTTGCTACGTGGCAAAGGGCCTCTTCAGGCCAATTTTCGTACCAGTCTACTGTACAGCAATTCACAATGGCAGGATATATCTGTAAATACTGACGGAAAACCAGTCCTGTAGGATTTATTGTCAAAACTATATGAAGGTTGTGGCGTACTCTCTAGAAAAAAAAATACTGTGTAAAAACTCGAGTAAGATAATTATTTCTTTGAAAATTATCATTTATTAGACTGTAATTGTACATACTTGCAAAAATAATTTTCATTGAAATAAGAATTGCATTGCAAATTATAGAGTGATAGTAGATATTTAAATATTTGCCCCCAAATTCAAAAGACAGGTTGTTTCTCTTTACGAGCCACTTTGTTCAATTATGCAAGTAACATGGATTCAGGCAATTCACTAATTCAGTTTCCAACACAGAGAGATATCAGTTAGTACTCATAAAGGTGAGATATAATGATCATTTTTAACTTGGGTTTCTTTCAGACCAGATGATACAAAACCATCCTTGGTGGTGATAATTAAAATTTCTATCATTCATTAAATCAGATTTCTTACTCTGCCTTCATAAGCACAATGGGCAACAGTCAAAAAGACAATGATGTCTTCAAAGCTATAAATAACAGCTTGTCACATTCCTGGCTTGATTTATCTATTAATAATAGGACAATTAAATTCAATGAGCACAACTCTGGATCCTTCTGTTTAATGTAGAACTCAAGCTGAAATGGGTACAGCAATTTCACTGAGAGAGCACATTGATCACAGGAAACTAGTATATACCTGTAAGAAGAAAGAATACATATCATCCAATTTGTTGGATTCCTTAGCCATTTCAGAAATTGATGTAAGTGATTCAATAATGTTATTCAACTCATCCTTCTCAAATAGGTGGGGCACTTGTCCTGATTTCAGAATACAACTTAGGACTTCCACAAATGATTCCTAAGAAAAATAATACCAATTAATTATCTCCATAACTTTGGGTTGTAGCAATCTAGATTTTGTCATTTTGACAAAATGATGGTTTTTTACAGACACTTTTAATGGAGCTCCAGCTATAAAGTTATTTGGTGTTAACTGTTTAATAGTTCCTATTCTAATAATTTATTAGGAGACTGGTGAAAATGCAGTCAGCTCCCAATCATCCTTTAACCTCTGATAACAATCCAGATATATTAAGATTAAGAAAGAAGCAAGAAACAGAGATGAAAAATTTTAACGAGTGTTTAATTAACATGATACAAATTTAATATGTATATTAATTTATATTCTGTGTAGGCTTACTTGAATTATATCTGAATCTGTAATGAGAAGAATGGTCCTCTTGCCTTCTGCTCCAGCTTGTTTATAGACTTTTTTAATATCCTCTTGAAAATGTGCAAAGGTGTAACTATAGGAAGTAGATAACCTATAGATACTGCATTCAGATATATAACTGGCTAAGGATGCACAGGTTGCTTTTCCATTGCCATTCCATCCAATCTGTTAATAAATATTAAAAATGTTAGATAAACATCAGGTAAAAAAATGACTTACTAAAGCAAATCTTCATTTATTAAAATGTTTAAATAATTTTTAGAATGCAGGATAATAATAATAATTATGGCTTAGTGATAGGTGTTTTAATGGCATATGGTGTTTAAAATTTACCTTGATTTAAGATGTGCTACTTTTAAATAGAGACACATCATTGACATTTTATATAACATGTCCAATTAAAAATAAAGTTTCTTACCAGTGTCATATGACCACATTGTTGTCGAAAAACCCTTGCAGCTCTAATTACATGCTGTATTGCTTCTTTGAAAAATACCATACTGATCTAAGAAAAGAGAAAGCAAAAATGTAGGGATTAGGGCAGGGGTGTCAAACTTGCATCATCACAGTGGTATCACATGACATATCGGGACTTTTTCCCCCTTCACTAAACTGGGCAGGGATGTGGCCAGTGTGTGATGCATCCGGCCCGCGGGCTGCGAGTTTGACAGCCTTGGAATATGGGGAAACCTCCTTCCAAAATGCCTTTCAGACATGAAAGAGTTAAAGGAAAAGCAAAATCTAACGTTTTTATCTGGGGATCTGGCATAAACAGAGTGGGAAAACTAATGCTAAAGGGACATTCAGGACCAAGACTATTTCTCTCTCGGGTAAGCTTTTCAAACAGAGAACAGCTAGCTCATTTTAATTGTTTTTTCTCTCATATGAGTAGCTGGAACATTTTCTGGATTGGTTCAAAACCTGATAATCTCATTTCCCAGAGATCTGTAATTGGTGATCTAGAAAAGTTTTGGTCACATACAAATTGTGCAAGCTTGATGTGAGTTAGAATTTTTGTATTATTTCATGCATGTGTGTTGTTTGCCTTTCTCATTCTTGGTCATGTGCTTTTTTATCTATATTCTTGGGTAGCAAAACATCCTGAGATAAACTGAGATAAACTTTGCAGACTCAATTGCTATTTTCTCTTAGCTTTCCTTTCTTTTTGGGGTTTCCAACTGCTATTTGGTTCCTTAACCTAATAATATATACCAAAGCCGTCCATTTCTAATTGAATCAATCCTCTCATTCTGACAAATATTATATACCCCAGCAACCTGTTTAAGCAACAGAAAAATTAAGTCAGAAGTCATAGGTTTGCCTCTTTCTGTTCTCAAATAAACTAGTGAGAAAGAAGGCTCTCCCCCAAGAGTTGTGTCAAGGCACAGGAAATTGTGGTTGGAAGATATAGAAACCCCATCATATGCATATTTATTATTGTGCATATTTAACTGCGTTTCATAACAAAAACTGCAAAAAATCTGAGGAGCTTAAAAAAGTAAGCCATAGAATAAGAAAACAAAAACAACTACATCTACAATAAATATAGCCCAAAATGGAACAATCATCCCGTCAAACAAACAAAATAAAATAGAGAAAACTAAATACACATTGTTATTATATCTATCAATGAGAACTCTCTGGAAGAGTTGTGTTTTCATCAGCTTTTCAGCTTCCAGACAAGGCTAATATTGAAAAGACCAATCTTATTTCCAGAGTAGGTGGCTCTGAAGAATTGGCATCATAACTAAAAAAAAGTATTTCCTGACTTCAGCCAGCCGAACGTCATGAAAATGGGATCCTACCAATACCTTTCCAAAAAGTATTGCCTCAGATGACCCTGAGGCAACCCTGGTTGGAGCAGGCAATTTGGTTGCAAAGCCAGATAGGATTTTATACGACATAGCAGTTTGCAGTGGCCCATATTGACTGACAGTGTCACCATTAGCATATTATACATCTATTGTGGGCCTTGCACTGATTATCAGTAACTTTCTGTATGCCTTTTAAAATCTTATCTAGCTTAGCAATCAAGCTGCCTGCTCCAACCAGGTGATCTTCAAATGCTTTTCATATAGAACATATTGCAGAAGTGCAACCAAGTGGCAATAAAGATATGAGCCACTGTACCCAAGTCCTCCTATTCCAGGTAAGGTGGCAACTGAGGTACTAGACATAGCTGAGCAAAGGTCCTTTCAGCCCGTCTTCAACTGCACTTCCAGCAACAGCTGTGATGGTCCTTAAGTCAAGCACCTGCTCCTTTAGGACAGTACCACTCCCCACATCCCTTGAGAGATAATACTAGAACTGATGAACACACTGGTGAACAAACAGCATCTCCATTTTGTTTGGGTTCAATTTTGCTAATTTATCTTTCAGGTATATATGACATTTCAATCATAAATTGATTCTAAGCAGCAACCAACCAAGTTTTTTTTTTTTTTGAAAACAATTTTTATTGATTTTCTAGAAACAAACAAGACAAACAAAACATTAAAACATCAACTCTCTTATGTACGTACAGTGTGTCGGTTGGTTCATCAGTTTTGTGCATTCATTTCGTAGTCTCAATTACAGTTATGTTACATAACAACTCATATTGTCAATCCAAACTTATATATCCTAATATCACTATTAATAAATCATTTGACTATACTTTTAATCATTCATGCTTTATGAGATAACAATACTTTAAACAGTTTATTCAATAACAAATCATATAATCATACCAAATCTATCCTAAAAACACTTTATAGATATAATGTCAAATAACATAGGCAAAAGAAAAAATAAAAGTATTCCTTGCTATCTAACTTTCTAAATATTCTATTATCGTATTTTGTCATCTAGCCACTGATAAAAAAGATCCCAAATTTCATAAAATTGTTTATCCTCTTGCTCTCTAATTTCAAATGTCAATCTACTCATCTCAGCACATTCCAATATTTTCTTAATAATTTCTTCCTGTGATGGTATTTTCTCATTCTTCCAGTTTCTAGCAAATACAATCCTAGCCGCTGTTAACACATTTACAATCAAATATTTCAAATCTTTACTATATGTATCTGGTAAGATTCCCAATAAAAAGAACTCCGGTTTCAAATCTATACGTTTCTTTGTCATTTTTTCCAACCACATGCAAATTTTAATCCAACCAACCAAGTTTTAACTTATTTCATCACATCCAGAACTTTACAGCCTTGACACGGCACAAAGCTTCAATATCATCTCCAGAACACACCAACAGAGTTAAAAAATCAAGCGGAGTGTTATCTGTATATTGATGATCCTGAACTAACAGATGGAAGAAACTACTTATTAATTATCAATTCTGAATTATTCATTCTAATTTTCCTTGTTATGCCATCTTTCTTGAATATAGCTGGGACTTGCAGTTTGAATTATGATAAACCTATGTAACATTTTTTATTTAACTACAGTACTTAGCTGTTCAGATACAACTATGTCCTGCTATTTGGGCATAGGGAAAACTAGAGGAAATCAAGAATTTTTATGAGGGACATCTACCACCTAAGATACATGTATACAGTATTGGCTCACATCACATAGTAATCACAATACATCAATATTAAACAGAATTTCAAAAATTACCTCTGACTCTTTTGTTTGCATTCTCACATAATATTCTTCCAGTGTCAAAAGAAGAACCTTCTGGCTAGTGACATTTCTGTATATTCTCTTATCTAAAGGTACAGTGTAATCTAGAAAATCTACAAATATAGGAGACTCCTCCATCAACTTCTCCTTTTTCCAGGAAATCTACAGGAATAATTTTGTAATTTGAAATCTTTATTAGGATAATGATCTTTCTTAGACAAAGTAAAAAATTCACTATGTATCTGCATTTTGAAATGTATAGATTAGTAAATAGGTTAATACAAATTCTCAAATACAAATTCTTTTATCTACAGGTATGGTGGAATCTAGAAAATCTAGAATAATTTTCTAATTTAAAATCTTTATTAGGACAAAGATCTTTCTTAGACAAACTAAAAAAGTCACAATGGATCTGCACTTTGAGATGTATATATGCATGTATGTATGTGTATTCTGATTTACAGAGGAATTATGGAGTCTATCATCTGTAACTCTATAACTGTCTGGTTTGGTTCTGCAACCCAACAGGACAGACAAAGACTTCAGAGGATAATTAGGACTGCAGAAAAAACAATTACTACCCACCTGCCTTCAATTGAGAACCTGTATACTGCACGAGTCAAAAAGAAGGCTGTGGAAATATTTACAGACCCCTCACATCCCGGACATAAACTGTTTCAACTCCTTCCCTCAAAATGATGCTATAGAGCACTGCACACCAGAACAACTAGACACAAGAACAGTTTTCCCCCGAAAGCCATCACTCTGCTAAACAAATAATTTCCTCAACACTGTTCAACTATTTACAAAAAGTACACTAGTATTACTGTTAATCTTCTCACCACTCCTTATCACCCATCCCCTCCTACTTGACTGTTTCGTAGTATGATTTGATTGTTGATTGTACCCTATGACTATCATTAAGTGTTGTACGTTATGATTCTTGATTCTTAATGAATGTACCTTTTCTTTATGTATACTGAGAGTATTTACACCAAGACAAATTCCTTGTGTGTCCAATCACACTTGGCCAATAAAGTATTCTATTCTATTCTATTTATATCCCACCGTGACAAGGAGAGCCACTAGAATATATTAAAAAAATCCTTTTTCCAAGAGTTTCTCCAAGAGCCCCTCTTTGTCCAATCCTGTCCAACAGATTGGTTATGCTGAAGATCTGATCAGCCAAAGAGTATCAGGCTTAAGATGGACTTTTTGCTATAGCCCCTGCCTTATGGAAAATTCTCCCCTTGGAGATTAGAATGGCCCTAACCTGTTGGTTTTTCACAAAAATTTAAAAACTTGAGTATGAATCTGTTCTGGGACTTGGAATGTATTAAGGACTCAGCTACTTGACTTTACTATTAGTTGATTAATCATCATGGCTGCTGTTTGTACTTATTTTGTGGGTGTTTTTATTGTTTTAATATTTTTAATTGTTTTAAATTTTTTGTAATACCTTTAGAGAAAAAATAATGTTGAAGTGGTTATGAATGTTCAGATACAAAATGACACTAGAAACCTGGCAGGTTTTAGAGGATAAACTGGACATACTGCCTCATGGAAAGGCAGAGAAAGAGCATACAAATATATATCAGATCATGTTGGCATCATTAATAACTAATCAATTTTGTGTACTGAACTTGAAACATTCTATGTTTATGATAAAGAAATCCTCACAAAACGTATATATGTATCATACCTATAATTATATCTGTACTTACTTTAAAATAATTGTTGAGCTCATTTGAAAGAAATTGATAAAATGTCTCCTTCTCTGCTAGATCAACCAGACGATCATGGAAAATTCGGGTAGATTCATGCATAAACAATAATGCTGTTGTTTCTTTTGAGACAATAACTGACTTGTTGGCTTGAAGTAGTCCTTCAAGTACCTACAGTATTGATTTTAACAGTAACTTTTTGAATTGAAACTATGTTCACATTACTATTGAAGTTACGAAAATGTTCATGCTACCTTCTGAACTGATTTCATCTTTATCATGCTAACCCATGGTTGCTTTAGGTATTTTACAATGGTGCTTAATAGCCCTGAAGGGTGGGATATCTATTTCAGATAATAACAATAAAAAAACAATGATTTCCATTTTAGATGACAGAATTATCCTTCAAAAGAAATTTCATTCCACAGGTATTGATAATATAAATCTTCAACATACCAACATATTCGGAATAAATCTTAATGGCAGCAACACTTTTTTAATTTTTATTTTATTTATTTATTTTGATTTGTCAATTGTTTACAAAATAATAGGTATAAGTAAAAACTAAGTTATGAATACATGGATACATATAAGAAAAATAAAAAATAAAAGAAACAATAAGACAGGGATGGTAGGCACGTTGGTGCGCTTATACACACCCCCTACAGACCTCTTAGGAAAGGGGTGAGGTCAATAGTAGACAGTCTAAGGTTAAAGTTTCCTAAGAGGTCTGTAGGGGGCATGCATAAGTGCACCAACGTGCCTATCGTCCCTGTCATATTGTTTCTTTTTTATTCGTATCCATTTCATGTATTCATAACCATGCTTATACTTATATCTGTTATCTAATACTTGCTTGACAAATAAAATAAATAAATAAATAAATTTTAAATTAAAGGGAAAGCAGTGCAACACTGCTACCTACTGGGGGAAAATTGAAAATATATGTGAAAAGGAGAAAGGAATACCAGCCTTGAGACCAGAAAGATTACTAAATAAGATATAATTATCTACAGTGATAGAAGGTTACACTGAGGACTTGTATTAGAAAAAGTGTAATCCTTGGACACTAAAAGAAACAGAAGATACAAAGAAACAGAAACCAGAACTCCTTTCAATTAATTGCTTATTATTTTCTTTTTTTTCCTGTGTAAACTGTTTGGATAGAGTGGCAGATTGCACTGTGGAAGACAGTAACGAGAAATAGTGAGACTGTACATTGAGAGGCGGTGACAGAAGAGTTTTGCAGCTGGATTTTAATTATTCCTTCCTAGTCGATATTTGTGAAAGGTTTTTCTTTTTTCACTCCTTATTTTTAATTTTTTTTCTTTTTTCCTTTTTCCTTTCCTATGGATATTGACTTATTTTTTAATTTGGACTGCACTATTCTTTCTTCTTTTTATTGGTAGAATTAATTTTTGGACTTAATTTTTTTTCTTCTTTCTTTTTTAATGTTTCCTTTTGGGGGGGGGGCTCTCCCATTTTTACTGAGCTCTCTTGGTGATTTCTTTTTTTTTTATATCTTCTCAGATTGCAGTATTATTACTAGGGAATATATTGGATTAAAGTATAGAAGAACCTGAAGAAAGTTTCTTTTGTTTGGGGAAAGATCTTGTGGACTATAAATTGATAAGAGAAAATTAGTCAAAAATTTCAAGATGAAAAAAACAGTGACATCTGCACTATCCTCAGCCTCATCTTCTGCGGCATCCAGTCCTAGATGGCAGAATTCTCTTGACTTGATTATTCAACAAGGAAAGGCAGTGACAATGCAGGCGGAAATTAAAGCAATACTTCAAACAATGCAAGATCAAATGGCAAAAATGGATGACAAAATAGGGAAAGTGGATGAAAAAGTAGGGAAGATGGAAGGAAAAGTAGATAATGTAGAAGGGGAAATAGAGAATATCCAACAAAGGATGATGGAATGAGGAATGAATGGGGAAAATGGAAGAAAAAACTTCTATAATAGAACAAAGAGTAGGAGAAATGGATTTCAGATTATCAAGATCTGACCAAACTAAAGAAAAGAAAATTATAATGTTGGAGATGGACAAGGCTGACTATTATCTAAGATTCCAAAATGTAGAAGAAAAAAACTAGAACTTAGCAGACATAATGACAGATTTACTTGCAGCAGCCAGAGAAGAGACAAAAGAGAAAATGATATATGATGTGGATGAAATCTTCAGAGTTCAGACCAGATACGGAATGAAAAATAAGCTACCAGATAAGTGCATATTAGATTTACAAAGAAGGCCATAAGAACAGAGATATTAAAGGCGGTGAAAGATGAACCATTGAAATATAAAGTAAAGGAGATAACAGTGTTGAAACAAATACCAAGAAGTGTAAGAGATCTGAGAAGAGAATATCAGTTTTTGACAAAATGCTTGATTAAAAGAGAAATTAATTTTAGATGGCTGATACCAGAGGGAATAATGGTGACTTGATGAGAGCAAAGACACAGACTAGATACCATTGAGAAAGCAGAACTATTTTATGACCAATACATCAGAGAATATGAAGGTGAAAAGAGAAGATGGGAGAAATAAAACTGCAAGAAGAAACTGCAGAGAGGGAGGAGAGAAAACAAAGAGAAGAAGAAAAAATGCAGGAAGAGAGAACAACCAGGGAAGAAGAGAAACCAAGAGAGCAAAGAGAGATGAGAGTGACAAGGGCAACTAGAGCATACCACAAATAAGACCATGGATGAAGAAATTAAGTTAATGATGATTAATATAAATGGATTAAATTTGGCAATCAAAAGGAAAAGAATATTTAATAAATTAGAGAAACTAAAATTGGATATAATTTGTTTGCAAGAAGTGCATATTAAGAAACAATATGAGAAAGTATTAGACCACCCTAAGATTGGAAGACTATACACTACATTGGCACAACAAAGCAAAAGAGGAATAACATTATATATAAAAGACAGTATAAAAACAGAATTAATTTACCAAGACAATGAAGGGAGAGTACTGATAGTTGAAATATTGATGAACTATAAATGGACATTACTAGTGGCTATTTATGCCCCAAATGAAAGACAAGTTGAATTTTATGACAAATTACATAAAAAATAACAGAACTGGAATATGAACATATTTGTGTTATTGGAGATTACAATACAATAGTAGATAGTAGAAAAAGGACTATAAAACACAAAAGTCAAAAAGAATCGAAAAATACTATCTAAGGCATTTTTTAAAATGGCAGAAGAATTAGCAGTTCAAGAAGCATGGAGAGAAAGATATCCAGAAAAGCAATAATATACATTTTATTCAAATAGACATTTATCTTGGTCCAGAATAGATATGATATGGGCAACAACAGAGATAATTGCTATTATACAAGACATAAGCATTGAAACAAATATATGGGCAGATCATAATACAATTAAAGTAATATGGAAAAGACAAAAGAAGAGGTCAAGATGAACAATGAACAATCTAATACTGAGAGAAAAAGAATATATTGAATATACTGTATGAAAAAGGAATTAAAAAATTTCTTCGAACAAAATAAGAAAGAAGAAACCTCATTACAAAATGTGTGGGATACAGCTAAAGCTTATATAAGAGGACCAACAATAACATATACTCGAAAGAGAAATTGAAAGAAAAGACAAGCACAAAAATGTTAGAAGAAGAATATAAAAAACTGGAAGCAGAATTACAAAAAAATCTGCAAAAAAGAAATTCAAAATAAAATGACTGACAAAACATAAAATGGAAATAATAGATAAAGAAGAACTAGCACAAAAAATAAAATATACTAAACAAAACTTTTCTGAAAATGCAAATAAGCCAGGAAGATAGTTGGCGTATAAACTGAAAAAAGAGAAAGAAAAGAAAAGGATATCTCAACTCATGGATGATAAAGGGAACTTGTGTTATAGAAATGAAGATAAGAAAGAAATAATACATAAATATTATAGAGAATTATATAAAGAAGAACAAGTGGAAAAGGAGAAATAAAGGAATATCTAAAGAAGATGGAACTACCTAAAGTGTCAGAAGAAATTAAAATTATGTTGGAAGGAAAAATTACAATGATGAAATTAATGGAAGCATTTAAAAGATAAAATAATGGAAAAGCACTAGGGAACCGTGGAAGCTACAGAGGCGGCTCCCCTACCCAAGAAGTGGCTGAAATGCTGCCGGTGGAGCAATGTGAAGGGAAAGCAACAGCGACGGAGGAAGCAGCAGTGGCGGGCGCCGAAGGTCTCTCAATTTAAAGTGCCCTGCCGAGGTCGACATCTACACCGCCACCGCCCGTCTGCTGACCCGGCCTGCAACCAGCACCATACCCGGGTCTGCAGCAAAGGTGCTTGGTGGGGGTAGGGAGCCCTTCACACTCTGGCATGATCGGCCATTAGGAGTGGCTGGTGGTGAGGCGTGGCTGCCCACAGGGCGCTCCTAACAGCAAGTTCCCCCCTGCCCTCCTCCCCAATTTCTCATGTTTAAAAATAGGCCTAAAATTGGGGGGAGGGGCTTAATTTCATTTTATGCCTAGAAAACATGCAGGGTCTTCCTATTGGGGGGGGGGATTTTGTTGTAGAAACACGGTATATACTAGTAAACATTATTTGTTTATATAGTATTGTTTATGTATATGTTTTATTGAGTATGATGACAGAGGGTTCATAGCAGGAAAAGTAAAAGGAAGCAGAGCCAATAAAGAAAAGAGGAGTTTGTAGTTGTTCAGTAAAATGAATAAACCTGGCTTAAAATCCTCCTTCCTTCTTCACATTATGACAGTTTTGATCATAACCTATTTATGTACTTCTTTTAAGCAACCTTTCTATTTAAAAGTCTTTTTCCTTTCCTATTCTCTAACTTATGGAATACAAATAGTCTTTTTTAGTGATTATTCGAGAATAATGATTGAAAAGTAATCTTATGACCAATCCTTGCATTTACAACGTTCTTTGATCTGTAAAGCAAAGGAGGGGTAAAATAAGATCATAAGCATAGTCACTATTTCACTTAGCAACTGCATCTGTTAATAACTGATTTGCAGGTCCCAAATGTTATCACCAAATGAGGCTACCTATACTTCACTGATTAACCATTAACCAATTGAAAAATCAAGAAACACAAACCTTAAAAAGATCTCGTAGATTAAATATATAATGGCATTTAGCAGGTGTTGGAAGCATTTTGTGAAGCATTCTATAGTACAGTGCAATAGAGCAGCATGTTAAATTATCTGTACACTTCTGAACTTCAACCAAGAATCTGTTGATGTAAAAGTATGTTCCCAGACGTACCTATAAAAATATTTCATACATTTAAGACAATTGTAAAATATTTTCCATTTATTATAATTTAATAATAAAGATGCTAAGTTATGTACAGTACATTACTTTAAAGAAACTGTTGTTACCATAGTTATATTACACTACATTATTTTAGATATTTTCAAAATGAATTGTAAGCATTTTACATAATGTAATAAAACAGGCTTTATGGAAACAGCACTGTGTAACAAACTGTCTAAATGTACACTTAAAAAAGTATTTGAGAGCATTCAAGCAATCATAATTATCTATCTAGATGCAGTATCAATTTCTCTGCAGGATTATACTGGACAACCCATGACCCATAGAGTCATTGTTTCAGAGATATTTCCTGACTATATTCCTCAATGCCTTCAACAATGGCAGAACTTCTAATGTTTTGCCCTCATTGGACAACTTTCACCCAGTCTCTAACCTTTCCTTTTGGGGGAAGGTTGTTGAGAGGGTGGTTGGTATGCAGCTTCAATGGACCCTGTATGAAGCAGAATATCTGGACCCTTTTCAGTCTTGGTTCAGGGTACAGCACTGAGATAGTATTTGCTTATGTGTGCTAATCAGGGGTGGGATTCAGCCAGTTCGGGCAAACCAGATGTTACATTTACATCTGGTTCACCGAACCAGTAATTGAACCAACTGGCTGGCCCTACCCCTCCCCTTCCAGGAGTCTCCACGTGGCCCATTTTGGATGCAGGTAATTGCAGGGTCTGCGCAGAAGCTCTGGGAGGATGAAAAATGGCCCTCCTGAAAGTTCCAGAAGGGGCCTGTTTCTGGCTTCCAGAGGGTCTCTGGAGCCCAGGGGAGTCCATTTTCATCCTCCCAGAAGCCAGAGGGAAGCCTCCGGACTCTGGGAAAGGCAAAAAATGGCCCTCCCAGAAGTTCCGGTAGGCCACACCCACCCAGCAACTGGGCAGATAACCAGTTGTTGGGATTTTTGAATCCCACCCTTGGTGCTAATGATCTTTGGTGGGCTAATATGGGGGTTGTACAACTGTCCTGGATCTCTCAGTGGCTTTTGATATTGACATACTATCCTTGAAGATTGGCTCTGGGAGTTGAAAGGCATGGTTTTGTGGTGGTTCTCCTCCTTTCTCCATGGTCAGTTGGTGAGGAGACTGAGGAGAGATCGAGTCCTAGGCCACTGTAAAGTTATGTGCCTCAGAGCACTGGTCTCTCCCTTTTCCTCTTTAATATGTATATATATGAAACCACTGATAAAGTCACTATATGTATGTATGTATGTATGTATGTATATGTATATGTATATGTATATGTATATGTATATGTATATGTATATGTATATGTATATGTATATGTATGTGTATATATATATATATATATAT